GACGCGCACGCAATTCTCACGCCGACGCAACACCCAGACGAGACCGCGCGAGCCAGAGTTCTTTTGCGGCACCCGCGATTGGTCACGGGCTCGGCACCGGACTCTCCTGCCCCCTACCGTGAGGCCGCCGTAACACTGCACAAGAAACGTCGTACGAAAAGACGTTCGCCGCGGACATGATGACAATCTGCGGACAGGCATCCAGCTTCAAACATGTCTGCAGGCAGTTCATCAGACGGTCTCTGCACACTATGATGCACGAGCGGTGTCGGCTTTCTGCCCCCATTATTTGTGCGGCCGGGTTTCATCCTCGAAGCCAGGCGGCAACAACGCTCGGGAAGTTCCCACGCGTTCACTGCCGAGGTTCACTACGGCTGATCGAACGCCGTTTCATCGAAACAGGTTTCAGGAAACGGGCACGTTTTATCGAAGCTCCATATAGAGAAAGCGGAGCCTCAGTTTAGAGAAACGCGGTGTACCGAAAAGGGGACGCTGGTTAAAAAAAATTGCTACCCTTCTTCGCGCGTGTATCATTGGGGCGCGTGTTATCCCAGCCGGCAGCTCATTACAAAAATTTTAATCCACCTGGCCCAGCCGTACACCCCGTTTCGCAGCGGCTGAATTCGCTAAAAGGAAGCTCGCGCCATCTTCTCTAAACCGGGTTTCTCTGTAAAGGAATTCGATAAACTGAGGTCGGTAAAACGACGTGCGCTAAAAGGAGCTTCTCTAAACCTCATCCCTCCGAGCACACACAGAGCTATCCGGATCTACGGGGTCACAAAAAGACTCAAAATAAAGTCTGCGTTGTGACAGAGCGTGACGTGAGCTGTGAAACACCCTGCTCAATAAAGTATATATTGTGTCTTTATTTTGGCAAAGACTCATTTTTTTTCTTGCCTTGTATGTTTTTCCTTTTTTTTAGATTGCAGTTTTTGTTTTTGTTCTTTGAGCGCTCTGCGAGAAACAAAAAACGCACGAACACCCTTTGGGGTGAAAAGTATCGCGTCAACCCGAGTAAGGCGCAGAGAACATTGGTGATTTATTTGTATCACAGACGTAGCAAACTCACAAAACCAAATGACAGCCACCAAACGATAAACGAACATTCTCAACGATGAAAACAAGTCACCCCTCGCCGCTCCCCTGAAAAGGGGCCCCACTAAAAAAAAAACCTCACTCTTCTCTCTTGCCTGCGCGCGTGTTGAGCTCGATGCACCCGAAGAATAATAGCGCCTCTATTCCTTCCCCGCCAGCCCCCCATTGTATACAATTTCAGACTCGAGACAGTTTGTGGCAAGCGCCGACATGTCTGAACACGAACGCTCCCGTTGCGTCACCTCTGCTAATGACGCGAGGAAAAAACGCCTCAAAGACCATTCCTTCGAATGGCGTCTTCGAGGGCTACCAAGGACACCCGACGTCGTCGTCCTCAGAAACTTGAACATAATCCGACGGGAGAGGGACACGCGTTCAGCAATAAAAAGCAAAGAAAAAACGAGCATAGTGATGTAACGTATCTGAGAAATTACGCGGGGACCAAGTACGGTTCTGGCGGCTCAGCAGGGAGTTATAGTAGATAGTTATGATGTCTCCGATAGCTACACCCGATGACGACACAACGCAGGCCCGAAGGCGTCTGCACAGAATGGGGCATCGTTATCGGAGTCACCCGAAGGATTGACTAAAACTCTCTATCAAGGTCATTTTTCCCGGCCGCCAGCCTTTTCGCCGGATGTTTGATTGAATGCCGAGGGGGACCGTATCGCTGGAATTAGGCTGGCTAAAAAGAGAACACGGGTATACACACGTTTATAGGATTACGACACTGTATCAGGAATGAGATAAAACAAAAAAGAAAAACAGGCGTCTGGCTTTTTTGATCGAGAAATTAAAAAAAAAAACATCGGACCAAGCAGGAATTAGTCTGGCCGCACTACTCCGAAGAATTGACGGGACGTCGCAACATCTGCCGGCAAGGCGTTGTTGGAACCTCAGTCAAGGATACGATCACGACGAAATTCCGAGAGCGTGCCTGACAAAAACCACCTCAAGGCCTCCGCCTCTCCCGCCCCCCAAACGTCAGCACTAGTGGGTGATGAAGTTTGGGGGGCGGCAGCGCGTTCCACAGCCGCTCACAACGAGCGTGACGTAAGCATGCGGCAACGCCAAGACGGATGCGTGCTCCTCTCGTCGAACTTCTGCGTCTTTGGTCGGGGATCCACTAAATATGAAGTCACGCGCATGCCTCGTCTTATAGGTGGCATTGTTCCGACGTTGCACAGGCAGTTCCGAAGCGATAAAGTCGCTCCGACAAATGCCAAGACAGCCGGACACCCATTACACTATGTATATGCCGCAAGGTATGTTGGAGCATTGCGGGAAAGCCGGTGTCGGGCTCTCGTAGCATTGAAAGACGCTAACAGCACCGCCGCCAGTCTCCCCGACGCGTTCGTAAATACCATTCAAAAGACAAGGCCCAGACATGACGTCATCGTTAATGGACACGGACTCGCTCCAATCGGCAGACGCATCCGTCCTGGCGTCGCCTCGTGCTAGCGTCGCGTTCGTGAGGGACTGCAAGAAGCGCTGACGGTGACGCAAGCTAGGCGGCGCTGCGTGGATTCACTAGTGATGAGCTTTGGGGGAGAAAAAGAGCAAGTTATGCGCTCTGTTCCTACGCCGCGCGAATAATCTGGGCGTGGGAGGAACAACCGAACAAGCAATGTTTTTGGCGTGTGAAGCGTGTTCGTCTCAATGAAAAAACATATATCTAACCTAAAATGCGCCTAACATATCTTCATTCTGCACATAAAGGGGCAAATTAGTCATGCTCTGCGAGGACTTTGTTCTACTGCGGTTCTCGAGGTGAAAACGAGTCTCGCTTCTAATCGAGCCGCAGGCGGGAGCCGACGACCGACTCGCGGACCGGTCAGTCTCGCCCAGCGTTTGATCCTGCTGTTACGCCGACTACGACGCCCGCGACGCTTTGCTGTTGTCTTCTACTCCCGTTTTGTTTTGGGCACAAGTTCGCTTTATCAAAAGCGCTCTCTGGGCCGCCTGGGAGGCCCAGCGGCAAACAGGCCGCGGCAGAAGACCTCCCCGGGCCAAAAAGAAAGCGGCCCGCAGTTCGCTCCCAGCCTCGTTGTTGGGGCGACAAACGACCGAGCGAAGAAGGAACCAGGCCCCAAACAATGGCCAGAGCGGCGGAATGCGCGACTCCCGCTGGGGCGAGGAACAAAAGACGCGGCAGAGACACTGGCTGAGCCGAAACCGAAAACGCGTCCGAAGCTCGTTAATCCGACCCTAATGGCGGTGTCCCTTGCCCCACGAGGCCCCCGCTAAGTGTTTCCGGGTTGCTCGACACGGGATCCCTCTTCGTTCCGCTGTCCGGGTCGTCCATATCACATGAGCGAATGACATTTTAGCGAACAGCGACATTTGAGCGAATCGACGTTTTAGCGAATAACGGGGGCGCGCGTTAACCCATCCGCCGCGCTTTGCGGCGACAGTCTCCGGCGGCTCATTAGAAAAATGTGAACCCATTTGGCCCACCCGAAAACGCCGCTTCGCGGCGTCCGAATATTCGCTAAAGCGTCATTCGGTGAAACACGTGGGCGTTCGCTAAAACGTCATTCGATCGAGTGAGTGCCTCCCAAAAGAACTTACTTCCCATTCGAGCACTTTTCGTCCCCGAGACGGAAAGTGCTAGCCGGCGAAATCAAATTAGAGGGTTCTACGTGTCGAACCAAATTAGAGCAACCGGCACGACCCAGCGAAATGCTGAGGGTTAATTCCAACCACCCGGGCTTCTTTTCACGTGCGAGAGGAATCTCGGTCACACGGCGCCTCCCCCGCAATATGCATCCGACAGATTGCGGGCACCTCGGGCCGGGATTCGAACCCACCAAGATGTGCTAGCCGATAACGTGTGTGTGTATGTGCATATATATCTTGATAATCTGATCGATAAGTAACTGCCAGGTTTACTGTGTCGGAAGCAATCAGTAAGCACAAACAGACCCCCGCGCAGGCCGGAGCGATCAGACGAGACGCGCAATCGAGGTGTCGGAAAGACGCGGCGACTCGAATAAGCACGCCATCGGGGCGGTCGGGGCCAGAGAAAGAACGGGAGGGGCCGAAAGGCAACAAGTTGTCACGCCGGGGAGAGACGGTGCAGGCCGCGTCCGGAAGTCGCCGCTGGAGCGAGACAACACGGGCGTCCGTCGCGGCAAGAGCCAACGACCGGGACGCCGCGCCAAACAGCGCCGTAAAACTCGACAGCAGACTGACGGCCCGGGCGACGAAAGGAAGGACGGGCTGCGGAAGCCTCCAGCGATCTGCCAAACACCGAGGGGAACAAACGCCAGCAGGCCGCTCAATGCACGAGGGGGAAACGGGCAAAATAAAGGAAAATGGGCGACTGTCATAAAAGGATCTATCGCACAACCAAACGAGAGGACAAAAAAAAAAAAAAAAAAAAAAAGGAGAAAGTAGGTAGGCGAGCTGGTAGGATTGAGTTGTCAGATTTCCTATTTTGATTTCCTTATCTCTGGATGCAAGTACTAGAAACAGTGTGCCATAGCAAAAACCACTCCGATGAGAGCTTATTGTAAACAAACTTTACATCGGTGATTTATTTGTGTGTGTGTGTGTGTGTGTGTGTGTGTGTGTGTGTGTGTGTGTGTGTGTGTGTGTGTGTGTGTGTGTGTGTGTGTGTGTGTGTGTGTGTGTGTGTGCGTGTGTGTGTGTGTGTGTGTTTTGTTCCTGGATTTGAAGCCTGCCTGTTCGACGGACTGTCGTCGCTGCGAGACTGCGGGAAATGAGCGGATCAGCCCGAACGGGGCTCGTCCAAGCGATATTTTCCGTACGCGCAACGCGAGGGCAGCAGGACCGAGATCGGCACCTACCTACGTACGACTGCGCGTTCTCGGCACACCTAGCGCGGTGGCGTCGAGGATAGTCGCTGCGAGACCGGCGCGCGAGAGAGACAGGCTATATACCTAGGCTCCTGGCAGGGGGCTCGAGCAGCATGAAGCTGGGGCAGCAGCAGCATCCGGGCGACTCGCAGCAGCAGCAGCGGCAGGCGCACGTCGTGCTACACTGCGGCGACACGGCGTCGCGCGTCCTCGTCGCCCCGCCGACACACCGGCACGTCGACGGCCGCGCACCGCCGACCACGTCGTCTCTCGTCGCCAGCACCATCGCGGTCGCGCACTCTCGCTCAGGGCCAAAATCCGGGCATCCGGGGGCTGACGGACGGGCAGCGGAGGCGGCGGCGACGGCACGCCGAGAGCCGACAGCGAGCACACATGCCGGAGGGCATCCGAGACAGGGTCGACCACGACACGAGCACCGGCAGCACCGACGAACGACCACCACAAGGACCGAGGGAGCGTACGCCACTGGCGAACGGTACGGGACGGCCGGCGGAGGGGGACCGGGAGAGGAGGAGGGGAGGAGGAGAAGGACCCGGCGCATGCGCGGGAGGGCCGCTCGCGCGACTCACCGGCAGCTGGCGACGGTGCCGCCCATCCCGGATGGATGGAAAGAGCAAAAAGGGCAACCCCGAAAAGGACCGAAATGGGAAAGCAACGAGGAACCAGCAGCGGGCGCGTGCGCCTAATTGGCGCTCTCCCGAAAAAAGCGTATTTTTACACCGCGCACGCACCTCCGCAGACGGACCCAACTGCGGCAGATGCGGTCGCGAAATCCGCCTCTGTCGCCTCGGGCACCCCTCGGCGAATTTCCTTCTTTTCTTTCCTCGGCCGGTCTCCCCGGCGAGTTACGTCTCCGTTCCTCCCCCGCAGAGCCATGTGTTGCTCCTCCGACTCGAGGGAAACGGAAGCGACGCTTCTTCTGGCGGCTTTCAGCGGCCCGTCTGCCGTCCCTCCCTCGCCAGCCCGGGCACGCGCAGGCACGCGCTCGGCACGTGCGGCGCGCGCGCTTCCCCTCTCGCTGCCCCGCGCTATCGGTCCTGACAGCGGGACCCCGTGGCGCCCGGCTGAAAGTATTTTCCCCGACTTGGGGACGACGTCGTGAGGACTCGTCGCTGCTTCGAAAACGTTGCCCTCCCCCCCGTCGCCTCGCACCTCACGCAACTCGAAGCCAGCAAAAAAAGAAGCGGTACCGTTGCTGTCCTACTTTAGTACCTTCCTCTTAGTCCCAACTCTGCTGGCTACCGGAAGCCCGAGGAGCACGAAACAGATAACCCAGCAATTAACGTTCGGAAAACTAAACAATGAGGAACAAAGATTTTTGTTCATTTTCTTCGTCCACCGGCCTCGGAATTCACCCAAATGCTCAAAATTGAACAGCTCGTCAGTCTCATCACAGTTAATTCGTGTACGTACACCTCACTTAAATTGCCATCAAATGGGGACAATCTGCTTGTTATTAATAGGTTCGCTTAATTGTTCGGATACCCCATTATACACGAGGAGGTGTTGCAGTTGATAGGAGTACCAAAGTCGCGTTTGCTCGGTGCGTAAAGTAAACGTGTGGTCTGTCCAAGTTTCTGGGTTTTTCGCTGCACATGCTTCAGAGCACAATCTACTGACAACGCCTGACAGATCGCCACGAGAAGCGGCCGCCGAAATGGAAAAGGTGGAACGGCAGACAGCGGATGAGAGGAGAGCCACGTGACTGGCGGCCCGCTGCGGCGAGACGCCGGAACACACTTCTCCCGAGCGTACAAACGTGTTTCGGGTTCTCGCCGCTGCAAAAGCTGAGCGCTGTCGTCCAGGAATTCCCCGAGAAATGGCTCTTTGATGCTCTGTGCCATACCAGATCTGCGACCGGGCACTCTATGGCCCCGTCGTCGAAGCGCCAGGATTTGAGTTCAGAGTCAACGGCGACGTGCGCGGCCGAAAGTGTCGCTCTGGTGGGCCTCTCGCTAACCTGCCGGGATTCATTCCTATCGACGGAAACGAGCGTAACATTAGGGCGCCCACTTTGTTGTTGATGAGCCGAGACTTCAAGCTTTCACGATGCTCTCCTATCTAAACTGTCATTCGGAACCCATGATAAGTAGCCAGGAACACAAACGATGATATTCATCGAGAGGCGACCCTTTCAACCATTCACACGTTTGCTTACGTTTTCTTGCGTTACGTTTTGATACGACCGCCAGTCACCGGAACATCCGTGCTTCGAATGTCGTGTGCACAGCTATATTGCTCGAATTGACTGCCCCGCTTCACACGGGGCACGGATGTCCCGGTTGCGTATAGGTACTTCCTCGCGCAGTGATACCATGGGACGCATCTGGGCCGTCAGTGTTTCACGTGTACACGGATGCTGGCTCGGGGATGATGCGGCCTCGAAATTTGCTCGCCGGCCGGCATCGTCGCGTGTGGGGTTCTACGCGCGATTGTGGTCACGGTTTTTAGCGCACCGCCACGTAGGTGCGGGTTGTTTTCGCCGCCAAAACTGTTTACCGCCAATAGGACTGTAGCCCTCAAGTACGGTCAGCGCCTCTGGCTCTCGAAATCTAACATTTCTCGGTCGCGTTTCGGTTGTGCGTTATTACGCTCTTTCAGGTTGTTCGCGGATGCTAAGCTGACAGAATTTCATTGGTAGATACAAAAAAGGAACGAGAAAGCATCGTTAGCATTTTGACAGGGCCACTGAGGGAGCAAGCTGCAATTTTCTTTTGTTGATTTAAACTTTTTCTTTTTTAAAATTTTTTGACACGCTTTATTACGGCGCGTGGATGGATGCTGCTTCACGCTTGTAAATGAGCGCGTCTCGTGCACGATCGAACGCTGCAGTGCGTCTTCATGCTCGATGCAAGCATTACCGGGCCGAGAGGAACATTCCCGAACCGCCCACCTACGTGGTCGCCGCCGCACTCGGTGACCGTCATGGGCACGCCCTCGCATCGCTGCTGCTCGGTTTACTGTCACAAGCAGTCTTAGCTCAAACAACGGGCGCGAAAATGTCACGGTCGTCTTCTGCCAGCAAAAGAGCGGGACGTTCAAATCGACCAATCAGGGCCCTGGATTTGCTCCATGACTTGACTCTGTGAGGAAGTTCCAATACGCGTCCCTTCCTGTGACTCAACGTGAGCAGACGTAAGAAAACACTACTGTGGGACGTCTTTTTGCTTTTGCTCTTGACAGTTATACACATATGTTGTATTTGCTATAATGCCGGAGCTTCGGGTCTGTAAACTTTTTCCTGAAAAAAAAAATTAAAAAAAAAAGTCCTGCTCGTGATGTTGTGAATGAGAGGGGGCACCACCGAAACATCTCGTCGCCTTTGGTTTCTCACCGCCGAAACCCCCCCCCCCTCCCTCCCCCCCCCCCCCCCCTCCCCCCCAAATTATCGGCACATGACCGCCACAGAAATGCAACCTAAAAGGACTTACCGCCGACTTCAGAAACCTCACTCAAACTAAAGGGCCCCTCCACTTCCTCGAGGAAGGCTCAAGGGCGGGCGCTGGCCAATCGCGACGGCGGATCCGTCCTCGCGATTGGCCAGCGCCCGCCCTCGCACCTTCCTCGAGGAAGTGGAGGGGCCCTTTAGTTTCAGTGCAGTTTGAGTGAGGTTTCTGAATTCGGCGGTTAGCCTCGTCCTACCAGACCGAAAATATTTGGAAGCGTTTCCTCGCAATACTTAGACGGGAAATTGAACTCGTGCCTAATTGCACAGTACTACAGGGCCGGCTTGCTAGAATTAGCGTCTAAGCTGAGACTGTGCGAAAGAAAGTAGTGACGAAGCTAGTGCATGAGCGGAGTGGCACGTGTCTCAAGCAGAGTCTCAAGCTCTGGCGTGCCCCAGGCTTGGCAGGCTTCCTTTCACACTGTCTAAGCAGAGACGCTGTTTCTAGCAAGCCGGCCCTGGTTTCTCGCCAAATTTAAAGTGTTACACCATCGCCTCCCCTATGCTCACAAAGCCTGGCAGTTCGACGATGGAGCCATAGAGTGCCCGGTCGCAGATTTGAAGGGCGAGGATCTGGTAGCACAGAGCATCAAAGAGCCATTGCTCGGGGAACCTGGACGTCAGCGCACAGCTTTTGCAGCGGCGAGGACCCGCAACACACTTGTTCGCTCGGGAAAAGTGTGTTTCGGCGTCTCGCCGCAGCGGGGAGCCAGTCACGTGGCTCTCTCCTCATCCGTTGTCTGCTGCTCCATCTTCTCCCTTTCGGCGGCCGCTTCTCGTGGCCATCTGCCTGGCTTAGTCAATATCTAGGAGGCTGTAATTACACTTATGTGTGATCGTTTTTTTTTAATACTTTTTTTTTATGAACTGGCCCTTAACGAATTCTGCGTAAAACAAATAGACACCATTTGCGGACGCGTCAGATACAGCCTGTTACGGAGCTTTCTTTCTGAACTTTCGAGAGACACCCGGTGGCCGCTGAAAAAGCCGGGTGAACAGGCGCGATACCGCGCGAGATTCCCTGGGCCGACAACCGGGCCGACAACCGAGCCGACGTTGAGCTGCGCGGTGGACGAAATACACGGTCGTTTGTCGCGCCAGGGGCACGAAAGCCGTAGGACGGAACAGCGATTACATCTGGTATGTCGCTCCCTCGATCGCTCCCGACGCGTTGCGGCATCGGTCCGGCGTCCGTCCTTCGGGGAGAATCAACGTTTCGCGAAGAAACTCGGCGCAGTCTCTACACGACGGCAAGCCTCGTCGCGCGTGCACAGAGCACGCGACAATGGCGCCAATACTTTCTGGGCCAAGAACGATTGTTACGGAGACACGCGACGGCGCTCGACAGCGAAAAAAAAAAAAAAAAATGGCCGCATGGCAGGGCAGCGCGCGTATGCGAGGGCTGGCCATTGTTTCGGAACAGCATGCAAGCACGACGCGAGGCATACGCGACACGCCGGTTCCACAGAATAGCCAAGCAGTCTACCCTTGGACAAGTGTATGCGGCTAAGCAGTCAAAGCGCGCACCTCTTGAGCGCCCAGAGAAGCTGGCCACGCGCAGTCTTCTTCACGAAGAGCTGTCGGGAGAGTATAACTGCGGTTGAGCCTAACCTCAGTTAACATAACTGGGGTTAAGGGTACCCGTCAACGTTACTATACCCCGTTTCATCATGTTGTACCAAAGACAAGGCTAGAAGCGCGAGCTCACAGCGTTGGAAGCTGCGCTTAATGCACGGAAGCTTGTGCCGCAGTGATGTGCCCTAGAGCAGAGAGCGCGCGTTTGTAGCCTTTCCTCCGGTACATCACGAGGAAAAATGGAGTATAAACATTTTCCACAAGGGCGCAGCCATCTTGAACATCGTCACTTCTGGTATGCGGTAAAACATCGCTTTGATCTCCTCACTCCGCTGGAAGGTGTTTACGAAAAATCCGTGATTGTCAGACATTCGTGTGTTGCCTCACCTCTATTTTCTCGCATATTCCTGGTTGAAACGTCTTATTATTTTTTCGTACCGCATATCAGATGCGGAATCCGCGTGACTGAGCTTCCCG